TGAGGATACATACATCTGTATTGATTTATCGATGGCAAACATTTTCACAAGTATTTTTTTGTTTTGTTTTGAAATATAAAAATGAGACGGGTAATTTATAAATATCGCTATAACGTAACCTTTTAAATATATGTGTTGACTGAAAATGTTTTACATTCGTATATATGTATTTTTAATTAAAATATGAAGTTATAAAATGACGTAATTTTTAGATTCTTGTATTAATATGTTATAATTCAAAATTTTTAAATATATTTCATAAAACATATCTGTGCTAACAAATTATTTAAATTTTTGATTAAGTTTTTAATATTTTAAGTTATTTAAATTTAGTAAAAATATTAAATAGATCACTAACAAGTAACAACTATTAAGATTAAAAGATAACTGACAGATTTAGCATAATGAAGAGATAAATAAGTAACAATATTTATTTTGATACGGTTTTTAATGAAAAAGTATATTTTAAGAGTCTCTTCAGAATATTTTTTAATGATATTAATGATGTGGACTAAAATGTGTATTTTTAAAATAAACGTAAGATCTGTGAACTTAAAAAAAAAACATAAGAGTGATCAGAGTATTTTATTTTAAAATAAAGAATAAACCAATCACACATTGTTCAACATTTCAACATTAGTAATAAATGCTAAAAATACGGTATAAAAAATATGGAGGGCATAAAAAAAAAAGGTTTCTCCTCGTTTGCTCTCCACATGTGGAGAAAAAAGTCAAAAAGAAAATGAGATTTTTTTTTCTATTTTTTCTCTAATTTTTTTCTTTTTCATTTTCTCTCCATTCTAAAGACTAAGCCGTGTTTCATGGGTTAATGAAATATTTGAAAGGAAACTAAATCATGATTTTAAAAGTGATATTACAATATACAAAATAAATATTTGAAGAAATTTGTATCAATTTGTAAAAAAAAAATTGAAAGTAATTTTTGAGATGTTCCAAATGCCTCCGGCGAGTATCTAATTAAAAAAAAAAAAAGGATACATGATTGCACGTAATTAGAAATCCTGACAAAATATATATGAATAACTTGACCTAAGTATATTTTTTTAATACGTGGGATATAAACTAAAAAATTCTTGTAATAATGACGGAGGAAGCACATAAAGTATCTTAATAATAGTGATTGCCTGGACAAGAAGTTGAGATTAATAATTGGACTTGGTCAAACTTAAGTCATGAAGCAAATATATAAGCTTTTTCTTTCATGATCAAACTTATTTTAAAATTAAGTAAATTGAATTCTTAAGATAATCGGTCAAAAAAGAATTCATAAGATAAAAATTATTATTGGTGTTTTAGCGGGAGAAGAGCGCCTTCGTTAACTTCTTTCTCCACTTCCTCTCCACTCAATTTCTCTGTTATTGGATTAATTTTCAACGGTTAAGATTTAAAATTGAGTAAAAAGATTCTTAATATTAAATATGATAAAAATTTATCATTTTAAACTACTAATATTAAATTTTAACAGTATAAATTTATTTATCTATTTTTTATTATTTAAAAATATTTTAATAATATTCTCATAAGATAAATCTCAGATACTAAATTTGCCTCCCAGACCTCTCGTTCTGGCTTCTGGTATCCCTCGTCACCGTTGCTGTTTCTGTCTCAGGCTAGACATCGCCAAATTTTAGTTTGAATTCCTTGTTGCACGTGGTGAGTCTTTAATTTCATTTTTTCAATCCTTATCCTGATCGCGGAACCATCGCTTCTTGAGCCCATTCTTGTATAGTTGCGACAACCACGACCGCCTCTTCCAAGCGTCGGAAACTCCTCTGAAACATCGAAATCGCAAGGTTATCGGAAAAGGTTGGATACTTCAATCACACTCAGTTCTAGGAATCAAACTGGAAATATTTCTGTTAGGCGGTTTCTCTTTTCCTATGATCCTTAGTGGACATGTGATTCTTTATGGTGCTAAATTCTTTTGCACAAGAGCACCCAGTATAATCCAGATTGAATAAGATCACAAGGGTGACAAAGTCCTACCATCTAATACGTAAACACGGCTTCATTCTCAGGACTTGAGCTTGAGACATTTGGTTAAAGTGATACGACCCCTTGCTAGTTGAATCAAGTCCTTGGTGATTATGGTGTTTAATTTGTTGCTGTGGTCTGTCTCCCAACCCCATCTCTGGAGGGTAAAAACAAAAAGGATCTGATCATTCTCCATCAATGGTTTTAATTTAATCCCAAAATCCACATAAATATTACATCCATGGATTTGACCTTAGTTAGCTGACACATTATTTTACATTTGGACTCAGAGAAAATGGACTTCCAGTAGATGGTTCAAATTATGCAGACAATACCAATGAGATTGGTGGCGATCTCAAAAGGAAACAGTCTGAAATAATGTCTGAAGGACAAAATCCAACTAAATCGCCAAGAATGATAAAGGCGATGATCAATCATTGCCAAAAGATAGTTTGGGGTCTTTCAAAAAACCAAAAGGAGATAAGTTAGACTGGAACATTCTTAGGCCACCCAAACGATAGAAGCAGAAAACGATGAGGATACTAATGGTTAGGTTAGCTTGATATTTCTAGATTGAGTTCTCCCTTTTTCCCCGATATTGGGTTTTATATCTCTAATATTAATTTCATCAGTCACCATATATAGACGAGGTACATCGATTTTATCTGTTAATCCTTAATGTAATATTTTCTACGACATTTAATAAAATATTTATGTCTTTAGTTTTATTAAGGATAATTTTGAAAAGATTCTTAACTCTTCACTGAAGCCTAAAAAATATAAACTATAATCTCTTAACTTTCTTTCAATTATTTCAAATATTGATTAATTCTTCAAACTTTACTTTAGAACAACTTGCTTATAGTTTATTGAGTTAAAATTTGAAGGAATTGAACTGTCTTAACATTTAAAAAAAAAAAAAAAACTTGAGTCACCAAAATACATAGCCCGAGTTATTTTCGAATTGTTGACTAATAACAAAACTAGGATTATTTCAGATTCACTTTGAATATTTGAGCCTTTTGGATATATTCCACGAACTTGTAATAGGCTTTAATAGTTAATACACGATGAATCAATTAAAGCTCAAAGACAAAGTAAAGCATATTAGCATAGAACTCACGGATCCCCAGTGAAGTGCAATAAACCAGATCAATGGATGCAGACAATTCTCAATTTTACCATTGCTTAATTGAGATGCAACCATAAATAACACGGGCCAAAATAAGAAAGTAACCCGCTCAGTAAAACAAGAGGCATCCTGGAAATAAGGCTTAGTTCAAACCAAATTCATCTCCCTAAGATATGAAAAAGGAAAAAAGACTACGCACCTGAAGTAACTTCTAGTACACATTAAAACAAATATCGAGCATGACAATATTTTTCAAAGCATAACGAAACATGCCAGTCTTATGCCTCCCGGTACATGTATATTTTTATGAGCAACAAGGAAACATTTGGATCAAACATAACAAGTCTTGTACTTATGACACCGACGTTAATGTCTTTACCTACTCGCATAAATTTCCAACATTCTTGTGACAAAGTAGCTCCAATGCTTCAGCTTGAGGGAGCAATCTCAATGATTGCCAAGTCTTTGTTTGTTTTTTTGCCACCGTTGCAATGCTTTACATTCTTGAACATTCCATAGTCAAAAGACTCAATGATTTTTTTCGGCTGTTAAGTCTTCACATCCCACAGAAAATTGAAATGATGTAAATCTTCTCATCTCTCCATGGTTTGATAGTCTTTCAGAATTTTTCAAGGGTTTATGAGAAAAGAAAGCTGCATATGAAAGTTGTTAGATTTCCTAAAGAAGCAAATTTTTTGTATAATAATTTCAGCATCATGACAGCATTGCAGTAGGGATTTCACTTCGATGGCTAATATTTTTAATTTGTAAAGCACTGGATGATGATTAGTTGAATCTCCACTTTGATCGCAGCTTTCAATGTATGAGATTCTGATAAGATAAATTTTGTATAAAATATAAATCTCACACAGGCTGCAGTTGTAATTAAGTGTCATGGGTTTGCATGCATATAGTTAAAGAGACCATTATATAGTAATATTTAAAATATTAAATAACTGGCTACAGTGATTCAGTCGCGGTCAAAAGAGCAAAGGTGGACGTTTTGATCATTTTGCATATAGTCGAAATGATACTCAAGAAATTAAGGGCATATAGATGGCATTCGTCTTCCATTCGTCTTCCATTTACTTGGAGCACTTCCATTCATTCAAATTCCTCTCCCAATTAGTGGGGGGACTCTTCATATTTAAATGACCTTGCAATATAGAATCCAGAATCTATGTGGAGGGGAAGACAAGAGCAGAACCTCGTACATACCAGTTTAGCTTTAACAATGTCTTCAAACATCTTCCTCGCTTCAGTAGGGGATAAACCATGAACTCCAACTTGAGGCGAACGCGCACATTTAATCATAGAACTCACCCAATTAATGGGAGCCTTGCCGGCCTCTAGAAATTCTCTAAGGGTAATTTCTGGAGAAAGATAGTTGCATTTGAAAGTTGTTAAACTTTCCAAAGAATCAACTTGTTGAATAATTTTTTCAGCATCATAACACCATTGCTGTAGGAATTTCACTTCAATGGTCAATTCTTCTAATTTTTGAAGCTCCGAAATTCCATCATAATTACTTTTTACAATGTATGAGATTCTCAGGCACCGCAAACTTTCCAAGCATGGCACAAAATTCACTCCAGTATCTGGAATGTCAAATATCTCCAGGTGCTTAAGTGTTTGGATCTGATCAGATGGAATTATCGTCAAGTCTGAACAACGATTTAGATAGAATGCTTTAAGCCTAGTTAATCCGGACAAGGATGGCAAACTCCTTATTTTAGTACCATATAAGTTTAACACAAGAACATTGCTCATGCTGTCAAAATAGGCTGGTGGGATTTCAACCAAACTTCTGATTCTTTTGTAGCAGTAGTGTCTGAAGGCTCCCGTAATTGTTGTCTGTTGCTGGACAATCCTTTTAACTGCCAACCTTAGAAATCCATCTAGCACCCTGCCGTGACTCTGGTCTGAAGGAGCACTTCTCATGCCCTTCATTATCAACATGATAAGTGCTACATTCTAAATCCGAATATTTGAATGATATATCTAAGGCAAATTGCCCATAAAAATCGTTCATTTTAACATACCTCATTTGTTGCTCCCCTTCCAGGAACGAGACATTAACAAGGTGCCTCAATACTACATTAATACCGCGACTACGCATAGCGCTGTACTTAGTAGCTGCACCAACATCACCAAGAAAGCCCTGAGCAATACAACACTCCACAAAGTAATTTGTGTATATCTTGCTATTTGCAGGATACAGACAAGCATAAAGGAAGCATTTTTGTTTACGTTGATCACCCAACAGTTTATAACCACTTTCCAAGACCGAGTATAAATCTTCGAAACCATTAAGTTGAGGCCAAGGCGTGCATTCATTCAAAAGCCCCTCCCAATCAGGAGGAGACTCTTGATAGGTAAAAGACTTTGCTATAAGACCTATAAGGAGGGGAAGACGATAGCAGAATCTCTCACATATCTGTCGAGCAATTGGTATGGGTGGTAAAAGATTCTCACCAATAATGCATCGAAACATCTTCCATGGTTCATTAGGGGATAATCTTTCCGGCGGGACTTTCCTATTAACACATGTCGAGTTGAAAGCAAGAGGATAATGAGTGGTTATTACCACCTTACTCTGCTTTTTGTGTTGTGAAATATCTAACTTTTCCCAAATCCCATTCGGCGTGTGTGCCTTAGGCCATCTAAAATCAGTAACTATCTTTTCTGTTCCAGCACTTCCCGTATTCTTCCAGCAACTACATCAGCAGGTTCATTACCTTCTCTGTCCACCTTTATTCGATTTGCAATTTCTTGTAGAATGTGAAGATCTTTAATCTGCTTATCAGACGGCACTTTGATGAAAATCACCATATCAAACAACTTGCATTGTTATCAACAAAGTGGTTGTTTAAGTTTTGCATTATTGTAGTTTTCCCCACTCCTTTTTGTCCATGAAGTGCCACGCATTTTACTCCTTTATTTTCATCTTGTAGCAGAGTCAGAATTTGTTGGAAGGCTTCCAGGAGAGTCGGATACTCTGCAATTGATAGAACACCAGTCTCCTTTATGACCTGCTCTGGCAGCTTATCAACTAGAATCTTCTCCGGACATTCTTCAAGAAGCTTGATCACATCTTTTAATGCCCTGTTGATATACTTTCCAAGATCTCTCCCTCCAAAAATACGCCGTCTCTTTGTCCCTTCTTCAACATATTCTTTGTTCAAAGAAGCCGCCTGTTTCTCAATATTTGATACGCACTTGTTTGAAAGCTTGTAAGCCTCGAATGGATTTTTCTGTATAATATGACTCAAAACTTCATTGTCTTTGTCCCTCTGTAAAGCAAGTAGCCGTGTTAATCCATGATTTAGCGATTCATGTATGTCAGCAAGCGAAATGGAGTCTCCAACGACTTTGGACCACAGAAATTCCATAACAGATTAGGCAATAGTTGTAGCCGTGGGAACAATTATCCCAGCTATCACCTCAGCCATTGAGAAACCTCAAAGCCCGCGATGAAGCAGTTCAAGAAACGTTACCAGAGAGTGTTATTAATGAAACAAGTTCGATAGAAATTTTCGTTTTAAGAAATTTCCAACTATGTACTGCCTCCAATCCTTAATATAAAATAAAATAACTAATTTGTGAATATTTAAAAAATTACTTAACAGTAAATTTATTTATTTATAATAAGTAGGTGTTACATTCCCTAAAATACTCTTATTAATAATGTATATTGAGACTATTTTTTTATGCAACCTTTAACATGTATAATCAACATGAGGAGTACTTTGGGGGGGGGGAAAAATTAATGTGTAAGAAAAAGTAAATTGTGGTCTTATATTTAGCATCAAACTAAATTTTCAATACTAGCTTTTATATTAAGCATTCTAGGTAGTATTTAAAATATTAATCTTGTTTTATAAGTTGACTCGTTGAATTATCATCTTGTTTGTATTTTATCATATACATTTGTCTGTTTCCCTTCTTAATTTGAAAAAAAAAATCTAGTAGGTGTTCAGCCTGTTTGGGGTGGCGTTTTGGGAGGAAAAAAGTAACTTATAAGTGTGATAAGTTAGTTTATAAAATTAGGAGCTGTTTGTCACAGCTTTTACCTAATCTGACTTATAGGTCAAAAGCTACTTTTTTTAAGTACAATTATAAAAGCACTTAAAACTTACTTATGACTAATGAAAAAGTAGCTTTTTTGAAATTAAAAAACATTTTTGCCCTTATATATATCTATGTTGTTCTTGTGCTTTTCTCTATATGTTTCTTTTGCTTCCGAATCAATTTTTAGTTATTTATTTTTAATATTCTCTTAAGTGAAAATAATTTTTAACAGTTTTGATAATATTTTTAATTTTTTAATATTATTTTTTATTTTATATTTGCATAAATTATGCAAAGTATATCATCCAATTAGTTATGTAATATTATTTGATTTAAAAATTTTCACATTAATATGATTTCTAGCTTAAATATATTTTATTTATTAAATATAACTTTTTCCTATTACAATAATATAACATTATTATATTTTGCAAATTCAAATTTTTAATCATTTTTTATTATTTGGTAAAACTCATACCCATTTTGGTAATCATACAAACAAAACTTATTTTCATTAAATTATAGTCCAAGTAATTTTTTTTTTACCTAATCTAACTTTTACAAACTAACTTTTATAAAATATAATCCAAACACAATTCATATCACCCAATTTAACTTTTATCCAATCTAACTTTTTCAAAAGTCAAATTGATAATAAGCTGCTTTTTCAATCATTAATTCAAACAGACCCGTTATCGTCTTCTTGAAAGTGATTCAGCAGACAACAACCACACTTTTTTTGTCCTTTTTTCCTTCTTTTTTTTTTAACAAGTCGGTTGCCTGCTTGAATAATTCACTTTGTTAGTATCTACTTGACATTCTTTTTTTTTCTGCAAATTAAAACCCAGTTTCAAGCTAGCATCAACTAACATACAAATTAAAGCTCTTTCAACGACAAAATTATTAAACTCGAAAGAGAAATTAATTGAAAAAGAGTGATGGCTTACGCATACTGAGACAAGTTACTGGCAAACGTCCGATTCTTGATCCCCATGAAAGCTCTTAGTGGAGATCTATACTTCAAAGGAGACAGTCTAGTCAAATCAGAAGAAGCAATCACGTATATGAGTACTTTTGACTCAGATGAAATCAGAATAACGAAATTAGCTCATTTTGTTTGTGTGTTTGTCTATATACATATCTTTAAGAAGCAGAAATCACTTACCAGTAATCAAGAATTCCCATTATTTTAGTCTTCTTTCCCTTCTTAGCTTTTTCTCTATCAGAAGCGGCTTCAAGTACTTGAACTTTCCTGAGCTGAAGTCATGAACTTGACATTTTTTTTCAACAACCGTTGCTCTGGTTGCAAGATTCAGAACTATGTCTATATATTGACTATTATAACAGCTCATAAGAGAAATTATGGAACAAGAATAAGTGATGGCTCATACTTACCCAGAACATGATGACCGAAAAAGGATCCCAATATGTATAGGTAAAACAAAATGAAGCTGTGTGGAAATTCAAATATCAATTCTTCAAATAAATAAGTAAATGCTGTAATGTCATATGGATCATTGTGCATTAAAGAAGAATAAAATCCCAAACTTGAATGCTGTTCCTTTTATAGTTCAGTCTTGTTCATTTTATCTTTTTTTCCTGATAAGCAGAATTAAGCATCAAAGTAAAAGTCTACTGAGTTAAGTCATGAACTTGACATTTTTCTGCAAAAACGCAGCCACTGCTTAACTGTAAGAATCAGAATATAAAGCTGCTTCAACATCAAATAATTACCACATCTCAGAAGAGAAATTAATTAAAAATCAGAAAATACAGTGATGACTTCTGCTTACCCAGAATATGAGCAGAAGAGAAGCTGGCTGACTTTTTTCCGGAGATGGTCTGAGTGTTGATTTCGATGAAAGATTTCAATTTTTGAAGGTCTGAGTGAAGGAGTTTCAGAGGAGAGTCTCCTTAGGTGTGAGGATGTGAATAGAGAAAAATTGCTACCCAAGTGTTTCTCGGGTTGCGTCTAGAGTGTAAATCCACGATTCTCTACGATGATGGAGGAAAAGAAAAGGAAGAAAAAAAGAAGAAAAAATTATAAAAGAAATGAAATAAAATTAAGATAAAACAACGTATTTAACCACATGATTGTTAGCGCAAATTAAGTTTATTTTTAATTCTCATAATTCTTTTAAAATTATCACCTTATGTGTGTGTATTATTTACTAAAATTCATGTCTTTTTTAGTAATTTTATATTTAAATTTGTTTTTTAATTAATCATTTATATAAGTTTTAATTTATCAAACTGATTTTTTTTTTATAAAAGTAAACCTAAACAACAGCTGATTTTTACCATTTACATTTGCGAAAATAAGATGAAATAAAAATTAATTTTGTATCATTTTTAAATATAATGCGCATTTTCCGGTTGTCTCAATATTAAAAAAAAAAAAAAACAAAGAACCAATTCACACTGGAAGAGAATTGTTAAACGCATGAATACTGATGTAAATGGAATTTATGAATTATGATGATCATCGAAAACAGTCACTCCTATGAAAAAATTATGGGAAATTTCATTTAGCCTGGGGATTCTATTTCCAGTTTCCCTATATAACCCTGAAATTTTACTGTGCTCCTTTGAAGGTAAAGTAAAATTAATTCTTGAAACTAAAAGATAACAATAACATTGTAGAGAGAAGAAATGAGATAATTGAATTTATAAGTAGAATACAAGAATTTATAATTAAAATTTTCAGTTTCCCCATATTTTCTTACTTTACAGCTCAGTGCATCGATTAATGTTTTCTCATTTCTGACTTTCTATCATGATCTATTCATCTTCGCGCTGTAAAAATTGAGATTCCCTCCCTCGATTGTCTATTTGTCAAGTGCCATGGCTCTGACCGGCCCTCTCTTTTTATCAAATGGATCCAATGGAAATTACATGCCTAATTATTATCTTCTTTATTTCTCCCTCGTCATCCAAATTGTCTCTATTTTGCACATGACTTTTAGTTGGTACTATGTTCTCTGCATACTGTATTTCCTTGCTTTATAGCTCAGCGTACCCATTAGTGCTTCCTTGTTTCTGACATCCTGTCATGATCTATTTGTCTTCGCGCTGCAATAATTGAGATTCCCTCTCTCCATTGTCCATTTGTCAAGTGCCATGGGTCTGACCGGCCCTCTTTTTTAATCAAATGGATCCAATGGAAATTACACGCCCAATTATTGTCTTCTTTACTTCTCCCTCATCTTTCAACTCGCTGAAGGATCTATGAAATTACATGCCTAATTATTGTTTTCTTTATTTCTCCCTCATCATCCAAACTATACTATCTCTATTTTGCACATGACTTTTATTTGGCACTTTATCCTCTGCATACTATATTTCCTTGCTTTACAGCTTAGTGCACCAATTAATGTTTCCTTATTTATGACATTCTGTCATGATCTATTTGTCTTCGCGCTGCAATAATTGAGATTTCCTCCCCCCACTGTCTAGTTGTCAAGTGCCATGGTTCTGACTTACCTCTTTTTTTCCGAATCAATCCAAAGGAAATTACACGTTCAATTATTATCTTTTTTATTTTTCCCTCATCATCCAAATGATTCTTATTTTTTTAACTTAATCCGACACATTTTTTGAAAAATGATTTCTATTTTTCTCAATTCGGTCCGCCATTTTTTGGCAGATTGACGAGTTGAGCCGGCTCCAGAGTTGAGATTAAAACTACGCCAGCAAATCATTACCATCCACGCCTTCTGCACTGAGTTTGAATAATGCCACCATCGACGCCAAGCAGAATAAGTTGGAGTCAGCGTTGGACGTGGATTGTGAGCAGTTAGACTGGGAAGGGAGGATTTTCCGGTGTGTGTAAATAATTAAATAAGGGGGCCCACCAGCGAAAGACGATTTCACACCTGAAAGGCCTTTCTTGCTGTCCTTGGAAATGGCGGCGATAAGGAGGAGGATGGTTGCCCGCGTTCTGAGTTTTAAGTTTTTTTTTTTTTTTGCTGCGTTGTGTGGAAGCAAAAATTTGAGGATTAATTTGGTCTCTTTAAGTTTATATTTTGGTATTTGATTCTTTTAAATAATTTTAATTTTTAAGATTCTTCTCAATAAATATAACTTTTTTCGGTCCTTTATGTTAATTCTCCCTTAATTTTAGAAATATAAATTTTTATTTTTGAATGCATTTAAATTTCTAATTCTGTTTATTTATTAAAACTACTTATGACGTAACCTTTTAAATGTATGTGTTGACTGAAATCGTTTTGCAATTGTATATATGTAATTTTAATTAAAATACGAAGTTATAAAACGATGTAATTTTAAGATTCTTGTATTAATATGTTATAATTCAAAA